GCTGGTTGCCATCTCTGAACTGAAAGCGACGCGGCGACCGAAACGTTGCTAGGAAACGCTCGTCAACCCGAATGATATGATTGCCCATCCTTCAGATCCAAGAAAAGGCGCGCTCCCTGTGCTCAAATGGGCACAACCACCTGTGAACTCCGTGGCTATAAGACGTACTCGCCGGGCCATAAGACCGAACTGATCGAGTCACATGCCAGCTAGTGTGCACAACAGCTACCACCTGCGCGATCGACTGCGAGCTCTAGCGCCCGCAGCAGCTAGGCAGCTCGCTCTGGGAGAGAGGAGAGAGATCAATGGCGCCCCGTGGCAGCATGGCTTGTAGTCTTCAGCTCGCCGTCCTCATGTCCGCCGCCATCGCGCTCGGGTTCGGCGTGCGGGCCGGCGCGGCGCAGCTGTGCAGCGAGTACTACGACCAGACGTGCCCCGACGTGCACCGGGTCGTGCGGCGGGTGCTGAAGAAGGCGCACGAGGCCGACGTCCGCATCTACGCCAGCCTCACCCGCCTCCACTTCCACGACTGCTTCATGCAAGTACAAAAAGCAGCCGGTCCCGTGTTCCGCAGACGGCCGCGACGCCGCGCGCTTGCGCCGTGCGCATGTTCTGAGCCTGCGTCTGTGTGTGTTTATTTCTTCGTCAGGGCTGCGACGGGTCCATCTTGCTGGACAACAGCTCGAGCATCGTGTCGGAGAAGTTCGCGACGCCCAACAACAACTCGGCGCGCGGGTACCCCGTGGTCGACGCCGTCAAGGCGGCGCTGGAGCAGGCCTGCCCAGGCGTCGTCTCCTGCGCTGACATACTTGCCATCGCCGGCTCGCCGCCAAGATCTCGGTCGAACTGGTGAGTTTTTTCTAGCCGGCCGGCAAATGTACTCTACCGATCGATCCACCGTTAATGAGTTGATCTTGACAAAACGATCGACATTGTTCAACAAGAATTGACACACAGAAGCAAACAAACTGTCGCACTGGCAATCTGGCATTGTACAAGCTCTGGGCCTGGAGCAATAATTCGAAAGCCGTCGGTGCAAAATAATTGAACTAGCTAGTATGTACAGCGGCTGTCTACGACAGAAGACCGAACCCAAATCCAAAATAGTTCTTTAACGTAATATCCCTAATCTCCAATAGAGTACCTATATTAAAGACTCATTTTAGATGTCAGGAGAGACATAACCCAAATCTGAGTATTCTCTCTTCCGAAGACTCATTTGCAGAAAGGGTTATCTTTTGGATCTTATTGTTAAAGAAGACCAAAAATATATATTGAACCCTTTATCTGTAGCGCTACCAAAAAGACGAATGAGTCATGTATTTTGGGTCACGGTCGTCGAGACACTCTTGAGGAGGTTGACAAAATTGCACGCCTTTTAAATAAAAGCATGCACAAACAGATAACCATAGTACAGTACGACTTGGATATTCACACGTCACATCACGTCGGCTGTCATCAGCAGGGCGTTTGAGCCCATAGGCACCAATCAGTTTCCTTTCCGTGCCATGCTTTAACCCAACACGGTCACATGACGCGTGGTCCCGTCCCGTCCGTCTATGCACGCAGTCCGGCGGCCCACGGTGGCGCGTGCCTCTCGGCCGGCGCGACGGCACCACCGCCAACATCACCGCAGCCAACAACCTCCCGAGCCCCTTCCACAACCTCACCACGCTCCGGCAGAAGTTCGGCGCCGTCGGCCTCGACGACACCGACCTCGTCGCCCTCTCAGGTAAGGGGAGCACACCGATGCCTCTGTGATTCTGCAGCTGCACGAACAGAGATGACCGTGGCGTCACCTCTCGGTGGATGCATGCAGGGGCCCACATGTTCGGGCGCGTGCAGTGCCAGTTCGTGACGGCGCGGCTGTACAACTTCAGCGGGACGAACCGGCCGGACCCGACGCTGGACAGGGGGTACCGGGCGTTCCTCGCCCTGCGGTGCCCCAGGGGCGGCAACGTGTCGGCGCTCAATGACCTCGACCCGACCACGCCGGACACCTTCGACAACAACTACTACACCAACATCGAGGCGCGCCGCGGGACGCTGCGGTCCGACCAGGAGCTGTTGTCGACGCCCGGCGCGCCCACGGCGCCGATCGTCGGCCGGCTCGCCGGCAGCCAGAAGGAGTTCTTCAGGAGCTTCGCCAGGTCCATGATCAACATGGGGAACATCCAGGTGCTGACGGGGAGCCAGGGCGAGATCAGGAAGAGCTGTAGAGTGGTCAATGGAAGCTAGACCCGTCGAAGTTGCAAGTAGTGCCCAAGTTAGTTACTGGTGAATTGAAAGCAGTTCAGCTGTATGTACGATGCTGCAAACATGTACGCAAACCGCCTGTTCGCTTGTTGGTTTCAGTCAACCCAAACCAGACAGCCAATAATGTTTTTCTCTCACAGAAAATCAACACCAGCCAGCCCAAACCAGCATCAGCACCAACCAGCGAACAGGCCCATAGTTGAGGGCATGATGCACCGATCGATTTGTTTATGTCATGGAGATTCAATAAACTATAAAGTGGTGTCTGTAGTTTTGTTCAATATAAACATGTCCATGTACTAATCTCACTACATTGGCTGCGACTTGAGAGCGAAGATCATGCAGCATTGCTGCGAGTCTCTGACTCTCTGTTCTGATATGAGCCCCTAAGTTTCAGATTTTGATCCTTGCAAACTGGAAAAACCGTGCGTGTTGCGTAAGGCGTCCTCAGAGAAGAAATTCCAGCGACATCAGGTGAAAAAAAAGAGAGCGCCTGACCGCAGAGTTGCCTGCGCTGTGAGAAAGAGTGTCTTTGGAAGATGTGCGAACTCTCGCTAGTGCGTTGCTCTTGAACCCTCGCGTTCAATAAAATTCTACCTTAACTAGCTATTTAAAAACCGTTGGAGACACCCACACCCTAACTACTTGGATTTGGTCAAGCTGGTCATGAACCTCCTCCGCCATAAATCTTTGCCTGAGCTCTGCCAATGCGGCCACCATTGTGTTGGCGTTGGAATCGAATTCCAGTCTGTTCGCTTGTTGGTTTCAGCCAGAGCTTATCAGTCAGCCAACAGTGTTTTTCTCTAACAACAAATCAGCACTAGCCGGGCTTATCAGCCCAGAAACCAACCAGCGAACAGATTGTTCAACTCAACTTGAGGGCACAACTCACCATAGCGGCACCTCTACACATGCATGCATAGGAGGGGTGGTGGTTGCCCTGAGACAAATTTGTCAGGAGGTGCTTAGGCCAATACCATAAACATCTTCTAACAAATTTCCTGTTCGCTTGAGCTACTTTTCAATAATGGAATATTATTTTTCTCTCACAACATTATAGCATAAACGAACAAGGCAAAAGTGCCTTGTCTGAGTACATTCCAATGTCCATAGAATCACGCTCAAGTTTTTGGATGGAATTGTCTTCTGCATTGAGCAAAAGTTGATCCTTGGAGCTCTCATGCTACTACCGCTAATCCTAACCTAGCTTGCCAAAGACGTTTTTTACAATAACAACTTTTAATATATATAACGTTAAAGCACATTACATCAGTGTGGGAAAAGAATTCCCATATTACAGAGTATAGTCAAGTAAAAGCTAAAAGCTATTGCTGATCTACTTCTGTACACATAGGTGTAAATATGCTTCGCTGGTTGCATATCTACGTAGGCGCTCATGTTACGTCTAGAACTTAAACCTAGGTTGACATGTTCTACCACAAAAAAAAACTAATTAATTTAGAGCTGCCATCTTATTGCATTGCTATAACAAATTGTAATAGGGTAGACTATTTTCTAGCATCTAATACAAGACCACAAAAAAGAGTAGAGATCCTACAAGAAAAGTTCACCTGTGTCAGCAAAGTCTAGTGTCATAAAGTGAGTTATTTTTGCGAAAATATTTGGCTAAGTCTAAGAGACGTTTGGTTCCCCGCCAAGGCTCGCCACACCTAACTTGTGGCTGCCACCATATCTTGGTTGGTGTTTGGATTGCATGCAAGCTGTGGCAGCCACACCTCTTTTCTAACTCATTTGCACCTTTTTCTCTGCCACACTTCTGTGGCGGCGCCACATCTTGCATGGCCGGTAGTGTCCAGGAACCAAACGGTCCAAGCCTTCTTTAGGCAAACTTTTCAAGTTAACGCTTGGACCATCATCGTTTAGTTTAAGACAAGCGAGTTATAAACATCCTACAAATTTAATATGATTAAATGTATGTCAAAGTATTTATAAAGATTATAGTTTTTTTTGAATATATTATAAAAATCTTCGCAAAAAAGTTAACAAAAATGTTTATGATAAAGATCAGTTCTATATGACCAAACCACGCCATGTAAAAATGAATGAAGGGGATTTCAGTTTCATACAGTTTGCTACACTTCTCAACCGTCACGTCACCAGCGGCCCATTTGTATCGCTCAATTTCAAATTATAAAGTCAGAACGACTTGTACCTGTAATTCAGGATGGAGCGAGTACTTTTGTACCAACACAAAATTCCAAATTGATTTCCAGCAGAACCGCAGGCATAGGCATGAAAGTAGGGACGCGAACGGTGGAGCCGATCCGCGCGCCTGAAATTCGACAAGATCTACCCCAAGTCGAGATCCAACAACACGCGCACTCAACGAACCTGATTCAAGCGGTTTCAAAAGCGCGACCCCACCGCCGCGATCCACGGCTCCCGTTTCCGCCCGCGCCACACCCAGTCACCCACACGCCATGGCCTCCCCGCCGCGGGGGCAGCCCGCCACCGCCGCCGCGCCGGCAGCCGCGGCCGCCACGTCCCCGCAGTTGCCCGCCGCATCCCACCCGCTCCCCCGCGCGTTCCTCGCCACCTCCTCCCCCCGTGCCACAGCGGCTGCACCGGCGCCCCGCTCTTCACCGGCCGGCCGCTGAACCCTAACCCCTCCGGGCCACGGCTCCTCCGTGCCCCACGGCATCCTCTACCCCGTCCTGAGATCCGCGTCCACGTCCAACTCCGCGGCCGCGGTTGCTACCGCGCAGCTCCGCCGCGTTCCTCCGATGGCCGTCGGGTACCCCCGGACCCACGCCGTCGCCGTCCCCATTGCGCAGCAGCAGCAGCCCCTGGTGCGCGAGCTGCCCCGGTCCTTCGCGGCCGTGCCTCGGGCGCTTGTGGCGGGCGTGGCGGCGCGGCCCGAGCAGCCTCCCCGAGGAGTTCCTATAGCTTCGCAGCCCAAGGTCAGTGAATTTTTGTTCGTCAGCTCTGAATGGAAGGTGAATTGGACTAAAGCTTCGGTCCTCCAATTAAACGTTTGCTTGTAGTTTTGGATTGCTATCGGTAAATTTTGATTTTTTGAGTCTGATGGAGCATTTGGAGGCTTGGGCCTGATGCTTTTGAGGTGTTCGATTAAATATCTGGCTATATTGTGGGATGTTACGATGTAATTAAAGTGATCTAATGGCAACGTGTGTGGTTATTCATTGTTCATTCAGTCCTCGTGAAATACTGGAGAGGATAAATCAGGGTAGCCTGTCGTCTTAGCATGTTACTCCCTCAATTTCAAAATGTAGGGGCATATTAGGATTTTTTTTTAAAAAGTCAATATTGTGTTCATATTTTACATGCCTTCTAGTAGTTATATGTTGTAAGAGAAATTAATAGCCAAATCATACTTTGAAAGACTTTCTCAAGTTGAATATAAATATGTTTGTTCTATTTCTGTTGGAACATCATAGGTTAATCCAATACCGCCTGTTGCTCCATCCAATGAGCAGAGCAACCCAAAAGACAGGTATGCAACAAAACAACAATCACATGTGTTTCTCATTTGGAATCAAAACTTGTAGAATAAAATGTTGCATTTGACTTCACGACAGGGAAAAGAGCAGAGAAGAACCTACAGTTGAGGTTATTAATGACCGCAAAGTAAATACTTGTTCTTTGGGCGAATTGCATTAGTTTAACCTTTGTGTTATTGTCAGTAACTCAGTACATGGTCTAGTTAGACTGGGATGATTGTACTTTTTGGATAGTTTTAAATTTTTCCAGTGAATAATCCGCATAGAAATGGATCATAGGATCCGTGATGGCATTTGACTTTACATATTTTAATGCTCCCTTTGTTCCATATTGTAAGTCGTTCTGGCTTTTCTGGATACTACTATGTATCCAGAAAAGCCTGAAGGACTTACAATTTGGAATGAAGGGAGTATTTAGTAAAGAGGCGGAAAAGGTTATGACAATGTTATCTGTTATCTTCATTTCTCTTTTCCTGTTCGAGCAAGACAACCTTGTTCGGTTTCATATTCTTCAAACAATTGTGATCATATTGATACTTAAGTTATAAGTCAGGGCTATCATCTTATTTATGAAGGGATTGTTATGCTCCTAAATAAGGATCATTTTGCTAAGTTTATAGATAAATAACATGGGGTGCACAGAACGGTTAACATTTCTTATGGTTTTGTATTGGTTGCTCAAAGGTTAACCTGCTGGATAGTGAGTCAGGATCCTTGTATGCTCTCTGTCGATCGTGGGTTCGTAATGGTGTTCCACATGAAAGTCAGGTTAGCATACTTTTCTTCTTTCATATGAATGTAGCAGTTGGTCACTTGGTTGCTTGTTAAAACTATTCTGAATTAGCATTGTTCCTTTACTATGAAATTTCTCTAAATTAGCTGTCTAACATTCCTCAAGTGTTTTTATGGTGCCTTCTCTCATTATCTAAATCTTTTACTTTGATTAAAATTATGTGTTTTTCGTACAGTATTTGTATGATGTATGAGAAGTAATACGTTCCTGCTCAGTGCTAAGTTTAGCAGAATAAACCAGAATCGAATCTTCCAGACTATAGTATTCAGATACATGTACATGTATACAATAGGCACTTGGGCCATGGGCCTTATGGGCCAGACTACTAGTATAGACTGTGCTATATAGTTGACACCCCCCTTCAAACTCAAGGTGAATGCTGATTAAGAATCAGACACATTGAGTTTGAAAAGATAAAAACGATGATGTTCCTTTGTTTGAGGCTTGGTGAAGAAGTCTGCCACTTGAAGCTCAGATGGAACATATTTGAGATCAACTGTGGACTGTTGGCAATGAGATCTAATAAATGATGCATCAACACCAATATGTTTGGTCAGCTCATGCTTGATTGGATTATTTGCGATTTGAATAGCACTCATATTATCACACAAAAGAGGTGTAGAGTTATCAGATGAAGCTCCAAGATCAGCCAGCAACCATCTAAGCCAAATTATCTCAGCAGTTGTAGTAGCAAGAGCTCTAAGTTCTGCTTCAGCACTAGAGCGTGATATTGCACTTTGTTTCTTTGATTTCCATGCAATGGGAGAAGTACCAATAAAGATGCAATAACCAGTGATAGAGCAACGGTCCATAGGATCACTTGCCCATGTAGAATCAGAGTAAGCGTGCAGCTGAAGTGGACTGGACTTGGCATAAAATAGTCGTTGTGTTGCTGTCCCTCGTAAATACCGTAGAACACGAAGCAAATGTGCATAGTGAACTGATGTGGGGGCACCAACAAATTGACTAAGAATATGTACAGCATGAGCAATGTTGGGCCTTGTTATAGTAAGATAAACAAGACTACCCACAATATGACGATATCAGGAAGGATCAGCAAGAGGTGTACCATCATTGGGTCGTAGCTAAAGATTAAGCTCCATAGGTGTTGCTACAGTACGAGTATCAGAGAGGCCAGATCGAGCTATTAAGTCTTGAAGATATCTTTGTTGTGACAGATAATAGCCATGAGATGTCATTGTGACTTCTATGCCAAGAAAGTACCTCAAAGAATCGAGATCTGACATCATGAATTGTTCATGAAGACGTGCCTTTACAAAGGTAATATATTCAGTATCATCACCAGTAATCAGCATATCATCCACATAGAGTAAAAGTAGTGTGCGCCCACGCTCAGAAACATGGACAAACAGTGCAGGATCATGATCACTAGGAGTAAAACCAGCAGCTTTAACAACTGAAGCAAATCGTTCAAACCATGCACGAGATGCTTGCTTTAAGCCATAAAGAGCACGACGAAGGTGACAAACATAACCATCTGGTACCTTAACACCTGGGGGTGGTTGCATATAGACTTCTTCATGTAGATCACCATGAAGAAAAGCATTTTTAACATCTAGCCGGGAGATGTTCCATGAGCGAATGGCAGCCACAGCAATGAGAGCTCGAACAGTAGTCATGTGAGCAACTGGAGCAAAGGTCTCCTCATAGTCACGTCCATAAGATTGCTGAAAACCTGGAGCAACTAGGCGAGCTTTGTATCGTTCAATTGATCCATCAGCTTTGGTCTTAACTTTAAATACCCATTTGCATGTGATGGGGACAGGATGTGCAGGTAAAGGAACCACCTCCCAAGTACCAGTACGTTCCAAAGCTGCAAGTTCTTCGGACATAGCCTGCTCCCAAACTAGATTACCTGCTGCCTCCTTATATGAAGAAGGTTCAAGTTCACTAGCAACACCAGCAATGAGAAAACCAAGCCTGTCGGGTGCATGAATGGTGGCTCGATTTCTAAGATTATAATGTGTGTCTGGACGAGAAGAAGGATCATGAGAAGGAGTATCTGTGGTACTGGCCTCAGGATCAGGAAGACTAGCAGATGGCTCGGGATTTGAAGGAGCACGAGGACGACGACTATACTGGAAATGAATGGGAGGGCGTGTAAGAATAGATTGTGAAGGAACAGGAAGATCGGAAGAAATATGAATATCCGGTGGAGGCGTGAGAGAGTCCATAGGAGAAGTAGAAGAGGAAGGTGATGATAAATCAATGTAGATAGGAGGTAATGAAAGGAAAGAAATAGAGTCATTTGAAGACGATGATTTTGAGGTGGGTGAGTGGAAATAAGGACAAGACTCAACGAAGGTGACATCACGAGAAATACGAATACGGTGAGCAGAAGGATCATAACAATGATACCCCTTATGCTCAAGGCTATAGCCTAGGAAAGCACACTCAACTGATTGAGCAGTCAGTTTAGTGCGTTCATGAGGAGAAAGAAGGACATAACATTTGCATCCAAAAACATGAAGATGATCATAGCTAGGATGGGATCCATGTAGAATTTCTCCGGGACACTTGCCCTCAAGGCCGGAGGAGGGTTGAAGATTAATTAGGTAGACAAGCAGTTGAGATAGCCTCACCCAAAAAGTGAGCAGCACGAAAGATGCAATCAAAAGAGTATGAGCTGTTTCAATAATATGACGATGCTTTCGCTCGGCAACACCATTCTGTGCATGAGCACCAGGACATGATAATCGGGCAAGAGTTCCTTCAGATGAAAGAACTTGACGAAAGGCATTTGACAAGTATTCTCCTCCGTAATCGAGCGAAAAATGCGAATAGTAGATGAAAATTGAGTATGTATCATACATAATAAAGGCTTGATATATATACACAATAATTGAGATCGATGTTTCATAAAATAGATCCATGTATAACGAGAGTAATCATCAATAAAGATAACATAGTATTTGTGACCACCTTTTGAAGCAAAAGGAGCCGGACCCCATACATCTGAATGAACAAGATCAAAAGGATGTTCAGTTCTAGAACTACTAGTGGGATATGACAGTTGTATCTGCTTTCCCAATTTACAACCAGTACATTCAAAAGAGGGATCTATGGACACTTTGCCAAGAACACCCTGCTTAACTAAGCTGGACAAACGAGAGCCACATAAATGGCCCAAACGGTGATGCCATTGAGGAAAGGTAACCATAGGAGAAGCAAAAGATGGTAATGATGGTGGTGGTAAAGATGTTGACGAGGACATCGGTAGATGTAGACGGTCGAGGATGTAGAGGCTAGATGAATTCTTATGGCGATGGCCAGTACCAAGAACGCGCGGACTTCACGGGCGGATGGGCGCGCAGGTACGATGCGGCGACGGCAGCACGGGTAGACGACGAAGGTTCGCGCGGACAGCGCGGGGACGGGCCGGGCGGATGGGCGTGCAAGTACGATGCGGCGACGGCAGCACGGGTAGACGACGAAGGTTCGCGCGGACGGCGCAGGGACGGTCCGCCTGAGGACGGCGGCCTCGGATGCAGAGGATTTGGCCCGGTGGCGAAAAAAAAAACGAGAGGCGCCGCGACCGAGGACCCTTCGTCGACGGTGACGACTAGACCAATGGCGGCGGCAGCGGCGGCGGCGGAAGACCTAGCTCGGATGCCATGCTAAGTTTAGCAGAATAAACTAGAATCGAATCTTCCAGACTATAGTATTCAGATACATGTACATGTATACAATAGGCACTTGGGCCATGGGCCATGGGCCTTATGGGCCAGACTACTAGTATAGACTGTGCTATATAGTTGACACTCAGATCCCTTTATCTTGGATATTTGATCAGTATATGTCAAAAATCTGAATCTTTGCTTAGGAGTCAATCTGCTTTCAGAAATTAAGTGTTGATATTTTTCCTTGACAAATATTTACCTATGTATTTATGTCTAGGATGATTTAAATTCTATGCTGTGCTATAAAAATTAAAAACATGATTTGAGTTATATGAAGGCAAACATATTCTGCAATGATCAGTGAAAGATGTGTGTCTTAAATTGTAAATTTGTGTTCATTGCTTTTGATTTTGTTTCATCTAGAGGCTACATGTGTTCGATTATTTTAGTTCATGTAGTTTAACAAGCTCCATGCCTGTCTGAATTGCTAAGTGCAGTTTATCAGTTTACACAGAGTACTGTCTTTTTTTGTGTGTAGATGGATGCTGCCTTCCCTTTTCTTCTTTTTTTGACTCCACACTCCAGAAACCCAATCGCACTACTATTTCTTGTCTGGATGGATTGTGTTTTCATTTCCCATTTTCTTCTTGATGTTTGATTGCATCTGCTGTCCAAACTCCTTTGTTGCCATGTTATCCGTGCACATGATTCATGTTCTATTCACTAACTCAGCCAAGCTTTGGAAATGGTGAACCCCTTCTTCCAAGACCTTTGCCTGCTTCAGTTGTAGATTCTAGAATATCAGAAAGGGACAATAATGATGCCGCAGGTGAAGATTCAGATGAAGAGCCACAGAAGGTATCTTCTATAAAATTTGCTTTGCAGTTTGGCTCACTAAGTTAATATCTTCTGATAAATGCACTATGATGCTCACAACTGGGATTATCTTCCTCACTCAGTTTTGGATTCTACTTGTTTGTTGTCCATATTGTTAGTTTTGGGTTTTTGAAAGTTGAACATTAAACTTATACCATACCAATACCACTTTCTAAAATATAAAAAGGCTGTAAGTTTGAAAAATCCACTGTTGATTGAAGTATGTGGCAGGTCACTAGCAGACAGATAATGATGTTTTTTAGTTTTATATCTTTGGTTTTGACCATGAAGGAGTGGATTAAAGATGTAGCTAAATACATTTGACGCAATAGGCCACAGTTTTTTCATCTTTCTTAGACCTTCATGGGGCCATTTACAAAATTTTGGCATCTGGGCCTTCATAACTAGCATTATGATATAGACTTGCAAATGTCTTTTTTGCGACTAGACAAAGACAACTTCTATAGAGTGGAGCCTTTTAGATTTTACACTTGTTTTTGTCTCCCCTTGGTACCCTTCCAGTTTTTGTGTTTGCAGAAGTATTTCCCGAGCTTGATGCTCCACATAGGTTACTCTTGTCTGCATCTTCTTCTGCTTAAGACATTATGTGTCCCATCTAAAAAGCAATACATTCTTTATTCCTGGGGAAGAGTTAAGTAACGGATTATTTGAAGCCAACATGTTGCAAAATTCGGTCTCATACTCATGTACCCTACCAAATTTACCAATGAACTGTTCGTTGGTTGTGTCTTAAGTGATGAAATAGTTTTTTTTCTCTTTGGTAATGAAATTTTCAGATAGAGTTGTTTCTTATTCTGCATCATCTACCACTAGTTTTTAGTCTGTTGAGCGCCTTTATTTTTCATCAGATCACAAGCGTTCCATTTAACATTACAATATTGGACCCCGGATAGTAATGTATTTACTCCTTCATCGTGCAGGATGCCAACGGTGAATACAATACAAGCGACTTATTGAAGCAGCATGTAAAGCGTGCCAAAAGGATACGTGCTGGGTATGCATATTTTGTTATCGTTTTATTTCACCCCTTCTCTACAGGGCTAATCAATTATCAGAATAATTAATATTAGGCAGATACATGGCATTGCAATAGAAATTATTGGTCCATGCCTCTGTGTGGTTGTTATAAACTAGATTAGTGTACATGTTCTTATGTTCAAAGTTGATAGCTTATTGCCCCAGTACAACTGCTGTTTGTAAAGCGTAAACGAACAACATATCAAGATAGTGATCTCGATGGGACAAGTAGTTCTCAACTTCTTATTCCTTTTTTTTTACAAATGGTTTTTTGACAGGTTGCAAAAGGATCGGAGTCGTCGGATTGAAAGATACAAGCAACGCCTTGCACTTCTTTTGTAGAATCGGCATGTGACTGTATAAAGTTGAAACCATAGGTGTTTGTCTTGTAGGTTGTAACTTCCGTGTTGGAATTTGTTAAGATGTTTTATTGACTACCATTTTATGTCTAGGACCATCTGGATGTTTTATTGCCAACATTATCTAATAAAATGAAACTGAAACCATAGTCATCTTTGATGCTTTTCAAGTTTTCATGATACAGTTAGCTGAATCCGGCCCACGGGCATGTTGAGTATTCTGAGTTTCTAGCTTCTATTTTTGCGTGGTGAACAGCTCTCTCATTTCTCGGTTACTCGCTTAAAGCCAAGAATTTGTCGTCCCAATTGCTTGGCAAATTTTGAATCAACATGAGAGAAGTCTCCGTTGGGTTAGCAACGTTTCCCAGCGCCGGTTCCCGGTTACAAAAAGGTTCTTAAAAAAACTCAATGCAATTTATTTTGTGTCTGGCTATGAAACTTCTCAGGAACATGGCGCGAGAGCAAACAATCGATTGACTAGATCAAGGAGCAACTACTTGGAAGCCAGAGAGGTCACAATGCGTTGGACTGAGGCTGAGCGCAAGAATTGAAATGCTCACCTACCTTCCGACGGTCATTGCAAATGCAAATACCAAGTTACGGAGTACAGAACAAAGAAAAAACAAATCACTAGGTTAGAGGATGACCTCGGCACTGCTTTCACAAATCACACACGACGAGAAGTCCAAATGCTCGAACGCCACTTTCTCAAACCTTGGGCCTTGGTGAAAAGAGGCTAGGCGTGGTGATTGATCTCTAGGAGTTGCAGCTGCTGCGTGCTGATGTCACGCACCTCGTCGAGCACCCCTTCTCAGAGGAAGAGATATGCCTGGACAAGTGGAGAATAATCAAATCTTTGCTAAGCGGACAAAGCGTCCCCGACCGGACGGCTTCACAGCTGAGTTATCGTGGAGGCCTACCGGCCACCGTCTAAATATTAATCACTCTCCTCCGAAGCGCTTGCAGCTGGTAGCGGGTCTAGGATGACCGGTTAAAAGTTCTTAATATTTCTGTTCTCCTTCTCGTTTTTCTCTATTTTTTCTTCTTCCTCTTGTTCATTGTCGAATAAAAAATATTGGAAGGGCTAACTGTCCGCACAAACCGGGCGCGGGAGGGGGAAGGGTGAGCACTCCCAACCTCTGCTAAAAACCGAAGAGACTAAGAGACTATAAACCAATTAGAGCATCACCAACACAGACCAACACCGGCTAGTGGTCTGAGCAAAAACTGCTGCCATGTAGGGTTTGAGTGACTTGAACAACTATTATTTGAACGCATACAGATATGAGGCGTTGCTTCACCCAAAAAATGTAACACAATAGCAGGGCTATGAGCCATCTTTTTCCCTCAGGCACTTTCTTATCTTTCCTCGAGGCTTTACTTTTTCTAACTTAGCTATAGTTGCTTTTGCAGGCTACTCTGACACATTGTGAAACCACTATCCACGCTCTCTCTCTCCACATGGTGTTCAAGCCTATATGGCTCTGCGAGGCTAACAACCACGTTGGTGTATTAGGGCTGGCCTAGTATACACAGCTTCACGAAGCTATCTGCTAATGGCAAAGCTGCTCACAACAAGCTTGCGTTAGAGCTTGTAACGGATTTGTAGAGTTCCTTGTGTCAGCCTCAACAAATAGGCCTAGATACAACATTGGTGCATTATTTTTATTAACACACACCTGCTCTATCCACAACGGATTCAAATTTGTGGAATATGCATCACCTAATTATTTGGATCTACTATACTAATAATTAGCTACTCCCTCCGTTTCAAATTATATGACGTTTTGGTTTTTTTAGATTCATAATTTTTGCTATGTATTTAAATATACAATATGTGTATCTAGAAAAGCTAAAACATCTTGTAATTTGGTATAGAGGGAGTAACTAATAGCTACTAGCTACTAGCTTATTATTACCCTAGAAAGTTATTTGAATTCACCTACTAATATGTCGCTAATAAGTAGTTTCTTCAAGGAACAGGAGGGGCAAGACACCTACTAAATTATATTAAATGTAAAAGAAACAAATAATTACTAAGGGTGTGGGAGGTTAAAATAGTAGCCCTAAATCTACTGGTAGAACTAATAGCTAGAAGCCCCTTATCTAAGTTAGTCTGTTAGTAAGTCTATTTGAACCCACTAGTGGTAATGGTAATGTGATCAAGTAGTAAGGTGATCCATGTGTAAGAGAAAGTGAAATTTGTTTGGTTTAGGAATCACTGCTGGCGTTGCTTGCGGGCGGAGAATAGACGACCAGGCAGGGTTCGGAAGTCGCGTGCTGTAATTAGATACTGGCAGGAGAGGAGTGACATCGCCGTTTTGAAGGTTTGTATCCAATACCACGTGAACTAATTTTGGCACAGCTAAACTAAACAAGGAGTGACATCTCGTAGGGTGAACCAATAACTGGGCAAAGAGATGGAACCAAACAACACCTAAGTACGGTGAGGCTAAACCTCCACAATCTCACATTAATGCACAAATGTTACATGGCTTTATCAATCTTAGATTTACAACCTAATTACTACTTTGCAGCAATTATAGCTGTAGGGCAACGGAGTGCATGGACATTTAGGACTATGGGGATGAGCGTGCTTCGTAAAAAGACCGAGACAATTTCTCTATTTTTTTCGAGAATGTGTTCGTTGACACGCGTTTTATTAAGAGGGAGACAATTTTTCTAGAAAATATTGATTTATTACATATTCTCAATTCAAACAATTCATGGACTTTTGTATGGGGAAAAATCATGAATTTACACATTGAATGAATATTGAGGAACAAACTACAATCAGAACAGAATCAGGTTCGGTTCACCACCCTGCAGTCCCTCCTGACCTGCCCCATTCCCCCGGTCAGGGGCGCGATGTTCCCCATCTTGATCATGGCCGTCGCGAAGCTCTGGAAGAACTCGGCCTGGCTGTCGGCGAACCGTCCGACGATCGGCGCGGTGGATCCCGCGCCCTCCTCCGGCGCCGAGAGCATCGCCTGGTCGGACCTGAGCAGGCCGCGGTTGCGCAGGACGTTGGCGTAGTAGCGGTTGTCGAACGTGTCCGGCGTGGCCGGGTCGAGGTTGTTCAGGCGCGTGTTGCCGCTCACCGCCGCCGGGCAGCTCTCCCGGAGCGCGGCGAGGTAAGACCGGTCCAGCGTCGGGTCCGGCCGCTCCGTGGCGCTGAAGTTGTAGAGCCTGTCCTGGAAGGACTTGCACTGGGCGCGGCCGATCGTGTGTGCCCCTGCACGGTGCAACGAGGCACGTCATTGTTTGATTTGAGTTCAGCACGCGCGCGGCCACAGGACCGGTCGTTGGTGTGTCGTTCCGTCCGTGTGCTAAAGTGAAATACCTTGGAGGGCCACAAAATCGGTGTCGTCGAGGCCGAGGTCGGCGAACTTCTGCTTCAGATCGTTCAACTCTTCCTTCGGGTTTGGGAGGTTCTGGGCGCCGTCGAAGTTAGCCGCCATGCCGTCCCTCCGGCCCAGCATCACCCTCCAGTACGGACCTCCTGCCTGCTCATGCATATATCCAGTCAGGAAAACGGCATTAATATTTAGTAATGATCCCCTAGCCGCAGTGTTGCTCTCGATCGACGGTAACTTCTTGTACGTTGCACCGTGTGTCCATATATGTCGTGTCAGGGCACTACTAACCAGCTCAACGGAGACCTCGGCGGCCAGGGCGAGGATGTCGGCGCAGGAGACGACGCCTGGGCAGGCGTTCTCCAGGGCGGCCTTGATGTCGTTCACCACGGGGAACCCCCGCGCGGAGCCGTTGTTGGGGTTGGCTGCCTTCTCGCTGCGCATCGTCGGGGTCTCGTCGAGCAGAAGCGACGCGTCACAACCCTGCACGAGCACGACACGATCAATCGAACACGCGACGCGAGCACCGTTCAGAGCCAGATCCATCGGTTAGCGTAGCGCCATGCATGGGCGTCGTGCACGTACATTGACGAAGCAGTCGTGGAAGTGGAGGCGGAGGAGGCTGGCAAGGATGCGCGGGTCGGAGGCGCGCGCCTCCTGGACCACGCGCCGCACCGTGTCGTACACGTGCGGGCACGAGCCGTCGTAGTACGCCGGGCTCAGCTGCTGCGCCTCCGCGCCGCCGCCGAGCGCCGCGAGGGCGAACGCCGCCGCGAACAGGGCTGCTACGGCCACTGCTGGCATCGCTGGGACCGCCATCGATCTTTGCCGAGAAACTCTCTCTTCCAAACCTCTACCTCGTGATCGCGCTTGTTTTGTCGCGTGTGCAGCGAGGTTTATGGCTGGCAACTGGGTATAGCTCGCCCGGTTGTCACTTGCTTTAGCCAGCGGTGACCTTGTGTGTCGTGGATCGGGGCATGGCGATGGTTCTACTTATATAGGCAGTGCAAGCGAGGTTTTGACATGTTCCCGGCACGGACCTTGATGCTTTAATTGCAAATAATAGATCAACGCAACTAACAGTGCGCGCGACGACTCACTCTGGGCACCAACGCGTACTGGTTATTCAGAAAGGGTCTCTGATTGCAGAGGCGACGACGAAATGGTCCTGCAGAGTGCGGTTAATTGTCGTTATAGATGCTTAAATTATTGCACCCTAATCGCACAAGACATTTCAAAAATGCGTCTGAATATGCGTTGGCGATGTTGATACTCCGTGCCTTTTTCACTCGCTTCAATCATCCGTGAAGACTTCACTTAGAACTTCACCGTCACAGGAGTAGTTTAATGTTAAATCAAGAATTCGTCTCCATTTAATCTTCAAGAATTACCTGACAGCGCGTTCGAAGTGTCGTGAAGGGATTTAACTCAAGTGTGTGTCTTCCTCATATTAGCATGAATATTTCTTTGCGTCAAATTTTTCCTAGCACAGTCGTGATGCTGACGCTAGCAAGTTCTATGCATCCAACTGTATAAAATTATCGTAAAAATCTGTATAAAATCATGCTTTCTTCTATTTTTACTTTTTTTATTACTGCAAGAATGAATCAAAATTTCCTTTGAGAGTATCAAAATGGAAGCATCGTGCCAGATCTCAAAGTTCTCCACCGCATCCAATGGGCCGAAAACCACAAAGCAAAACGCACTGCCCGATTCAACGGCCCATTTCACTCCACCAGTGACCAGCCTTCCTCGCTTCCCTAGGACCAAACCCTAAACCGCCGCCGCAACCATGTATAAAAACCCCGCACGCGCCGCCGCCGCCGCCCTATTCTCCACCGCCGCCGAAGCAGTCACAGGAGCTCCCAGCCCCGAGAACATCCAGGTTCGACAAGATGCAGATCTTCGTGAAGACGCTGACAGGGAAGACCATCACCCTCGAGGTCGAGAGCAGCGACACCATCGACAATGTCAAGGCCAAGATCCAGGACAAGGAAGGTATGCGAGCGCGTTAGCTCATCTGTTGGTAGCGAAGCAAGAATATTAGTAGCATGTGTAACGCAGGCGCTAAGCGGTTCGGTTTGTTCCGTCCCTAGGAATCCCGCCGGACCAGCAGCGGCTGATCTTTGCCGGGAAGCAGCTGGAGGATGGCCGCACCCTTGCGGACTATAACATCCAGAAGGAGTCCACGCTCCACCTCGTGCTCAGGCTCCGCGGTGGCATCATTGAGCCCTCGCTGCAGGCGCTCGCTCGCAAGTACAACCAGGACAAGATGATCTGCCGCAAGTAAGTTACCACCTACGCCCTCACCTTGTTAACATTTCTGTGCCCCCGAAATGGAAAACTTTGTTCTATTCGGTGCAATATTATCGTTCGAAAACGTCATCTCGAATTGTAGCGACGATGATCATTCGTAGGAACTTCACATGGTATTGGAATAGATAACCACATGGGCATATGCTTCTACAGGGATTCATGTATGGAAAACTTTTGAGATCTAATGCTAGTAGGAAGTGAATTTGTTGCAAACGGAATTTAACCTCAGCATTAGTAGGAGCTTGATATGTAGTTATGCGATTGAACTGGCTCAGGTGCTATATTGTACTTCTCATTCTTAGCTTATCAGCGTGCACACCTTGATAACATGAGACCACCAGAGATCATTCAAGCAAACATGCAAAAACTCCTCTTGTTTTGTTTTTCAAAGAAACATGATTTGCCCCTATGGGTGCATTCTTAGTCTTAGTTCAAAACGTTTCCTGCTTGAGCATTTGCTGAAGTGAGACCAGGCATATCTCATGAGTCATGACCTCTGGGCATGTGTCTTCTAGTGTATTCAAGCATTTTCTCACCAGCCAATCATTGTTCCATTTCTAACACTGAACAAATAATTGAGCAGCCTGATTGTTTCATTTTCCCATCTTTTTTTCTTGCTGTATTACATTTGAGATAACCAATTACTGGCTTGATGATGACTTCTTGCTTTAACCACACTGAATCTGAAGACCAGAGGAGGTGTATTTTCCTCCCTCTTCCTTTGTTGCTCTTCTCTCTCGGTGGCTCCTTGTGAAATCTCTTCCTTCTGGTGAAGAGCTAACGTGGAATTTATTCTTCCCTGAGCACTGCTCTTCACCAAAAGATTGAGATGGAAGGATTTGGCGAGATTGAAGAGCACTGTGGAAGGTATTGAGGAAGATCGCATCTGATGGATCTTCTCATGTGGAAAAACCTTGGCCTTTATACTGAGAGCCCCCAAGTAATTTTGATCCTTGCTTTGCTGTAACGTTTAGTATTTGGCATCTCCTTGTTTGACTTCACTGTGTAGTTTTACCTGGAGTTTGGTTCTTTTTGTTCAGTTGTGTGGAGTTAGTACTCTGTCTTGCCTGTTTATGCTTCCGTCTTTTGTACGAATCTGGTTCCCTATTCGCTTGCCCTTGTACATGCAACCTAAGCTAAGCTACAGCTGGGTGTTGCATTATGCTAGGTGATTTTGCTCATTCACCTTTTGTGTTCTATGGTTACACTTCTATTATTTGGACCTGTTAGAGGTGTATTGGTTCCCTCTTGGTGTTGGTTTTTGTTCTTAATGTGAAACTGTGTTCTTTTCTTCTGAGGGAAGTGATTGGCAGGAGTGATGAATCAATTAGATGCATGAAGTGACCTTATGAGCTGAAACCCTGAGGCCTATTTTTTCTCTGATTTGCCAATTTACCTGCCCTTTTCCACGTCATTGTATCAGGAAGTCCTTTTAGGTCATTGCCCCATTGGCCTGATGTTGTACCATTATCTGCAGATGCTATGCACGCCTGCACCCCAGGGCTGTCAACTGCCGCAAGAAGAAGTGTGGTCACAGCAATCAGGTTAGTGTTACTGCATAGCAAAGTGTTGTGCCTGTATGTAGGCTAGCACACGTCTTCTCCGTCCTGCCGTTTGTGAAGCATTGAAGCTCAACTAAGTTAATGAAATATCTATTGCTTTTCTCGTTTCAGCTGAGGGCCAAGAAGAAGATCAAGAACTGAGGTGTTGCAGCTAGTCAGTTTCATGGACAATTTAAGTCCTCTGTTGTAGCAATGTATGCTGTACTGTGTGTTGTTGTCTCCTCTGTTGTAGCAATGTATGCTGTACTGTGTTGTTGTCTGGTTGTTGAACCGTGTTTGTTTACCCAACATTTGGGCCTGTTGTGATGTTTGACCTTGTCGATTGTCGATGACAACAGTACTATATGACAATAGCTACTGTGTTTTGGTCACAGCGTGGTGCACCAATTTTGTTTAGTGGGCAGCCGGGGCAGTGTCCTTGTTGCCCACTCCATTTCAAATTAGTAAACTTTAATTTGCCTTTGTCCCGAGTTGTACTATTTTTTCTAACTGTGATCAATTTAATAAAAACGTATCATGTTCACCATTAAATAGTTTAAATACATTCTCCATAAAAATGTCTTGATAGTGTATTTATTTCAAATTGTAGATGCTAGTTTTCAAGCTTGATTAAAGTTAGAGAAGTTTAATAGTTTAAATACCTTCTCCATAAAAATGTGTATTTATTTCAAATTGTAGATGCTAATTTTCAAGCTTGATTAAAGTTAGAGAAGTTTAATTTAGGACAACTACAGTGCCTCGGTGTCTCTCCTTGTCCAGAACAGAAGATAAGTACTTTCTCCATCTCAAATTAGTACTCTCCGTCTTAAATTAAATTAATTTCTAGAGTTGTTAAAATATTTTAAACTATTTAAGTTCGATTAATGTCGACAAAAGATGTTCGGCAGTTCTCCGAAGAGTATCCCACGAAGGTAGATTGATCGGTGAGAGGTGCGCGTAATCAGGAACCGGATGGTGACACAAGGCGTAAAGACAACGATTTAGACAGGTTCGGGCCGTCTGATGGACGTAATAGCCTACGTCCTGTGTCTTTGGTGTATTGTATTGAGATGTAGTAGCTAGATTGATGTCCACTAGGGTACCCCTGCCTCTCCTTATATACTCTGGAGGGGTGGGTTACAAGGAAAGTATCATATTTGGTACTATACAATATCTTGCGGTGCACGTCAACCAGTGTCGTGCACGCCTTGATGTTGTGGGCTGGGCCACCTCTGATGGTGCGGCCCATGTCTTGTCTTGTGGATACCGGGGGCCATACCCCCATAGCTAGTCCCCGAGCCTGACAGTAGGTGACGTAGTCACGTGGTGCCAGGGTCAGAAAAGTAGAAGAAATGCAAAAGACCGGCCGAGTAGACAACCAGTCCACGGGCGAAGCCTTGAATTGAAAAGCGCACATTCACCACAAGATGAAGTGTCCACTTAGTCCCCGAGCCTGCTAGAAGATGAAGAATGAATCTTGTAGCAGGGTCAAAGAAAAAGAAGTCTGAAAGATTGCCGACGTCATCTGACATGCGCGTATCAAGACCCCCGACGTGCTGCCCAAGATCAGCATCTTGATCCGAACAGCATGGAGCAGCTTGATAGTACACCGATGAGACGTAGCAAGATCCGACCACCAAGGGAGTCCCCAGCGTAGCTGACGATGTCCGAGCACTGAGGAGTCCCCGGCGTAGCTGGCGATGTCCGAGCACCGAGGAGCCCCGACGTAGCTGGCGGTGTCCGAGCACCGAGGAGCCCCGGCGTAGCTGGCGACGTCCGAGCACCGAGTAATTCCCGGCGTAGCTGGCGATGTCCGAGCACCGAGGAGTCCCCGGCGTAGCGGGCGACGTCCAAGCACCGAGGAGTCCCCGGCGTAGTTGGCGATGTCCGAGCACCAAAGTAGTCCCCGGCGTAGCTAGCGATGTCCGAGCACCGAGGAGTCCCCGGCGTATCTAGCGATGTCCGAGCACCGAGGAGTCCCTGACGTAGCTGGCGATGTCCGCAAGGTGAAGTGGGGTGAAGTGTGCTCACTTAGTCCCCGAGCACGAAGAATTCGAGCGCCGAGGAGTAACCGACGTAGCTGGCGATGTCCGAGCACCGAGGAGTCCCCGGCATAGCTGGCAATGTTCGAGCGTCGAGGAGTCCGCGGCGTAGCTGGCGATGTTCGAGCATCGAGGAGCCCCCGGCGTATCTGGCGATGTCCGAGCACCGAGGAGTCCTCGGCGTAGCTGACGATGTCCGAGCACCGAGGAGTCTCCGGTGTAGCTAGCGATGTCCAAGCACCGAGGAGCCCCCGGCGTAGCTGGCGATGTCCAAGCACCGAGGAGCCCCCCGCGTAGCTGGCGATGTCCGCAAGGTGAAGTGGGGTGAAGTGTGCCCACTTAATCTCCGAGCATGAAGAATCCGAGCCCCGAGGAGTAACCGACGTAGCTGGCGATGTCCGAGCACCGAGGAGTCCCCGGTGTAGCTGACGATGAAGCACGAGCGACGAACAGTCTGGTCAACTGGTCGGCGACGAAGTGAGCATTGAGTAGTAGCGATCGGCGAACAGTCTGATCAACTGGTCGGCGACGAAGTCCATGAACCTAGCGGTCCGACCAATTGATCGGTGGAGAAGTCCGAGTACCAGGTGGTCCGATCACCTGGACGATGATCCTGCAATATAAATATGTAGAACGGGTAGTACATGACGTAAAAATATATGAATTCCGGAGAAAAATCAGCCGTGGTGATGAAATAGCGTATGCAGTTCGACGATCAGTTAGTGTGAAGATGTATTTATATTTAATATAAATCGCTCGACCAGTTAGTATGTAACTGAGTCTCCAACCCTAGCTAGCCTGTTAACCATAATGCGAAGTGCGGAGCCTGTGTGTAGGAAGAACAAAGCGTCGCTAAGGAGCCGTTGCCGACCACCCATAACGCAGAGGGCAGACGCTCGTGCACGTGTAGGGAGGAGCCAGAGACAGGGCCATCTCTGGGGACATCCAAGCGTCAACTTGACTATTCGGGGGTTCGCAAACATGGAGAAAACAGCTCGGAGAAACATTATGGCGATATATGAAGATCGGAGAATATGTAGAACGGGTCTGACCAGTTGATCGGTGGAGAATAACTTTATAAAAAAGTATAGATATATGGATGATGTTATTTTTTTCTACTCAAACTTAAGGTGATTTTAGGAATTATAATAATTTATTTTGAGACATTGGAGGACGAAGCGAAGGCAAGGATGGCCTTGGTACAGTGCTCGCAGTCGCAGGTTGACATGCACATCCTTGTCGAGCATTGTCAGGAAACTGCTGAAATGGCGCGAACGACTCCAGCTCCCCGCCTGCAGCACGCTGCACGCCTCGGTACTGTCGCTGCATCTCTGTTCTATGTTTTCTTTCGTATGATGACTGCCGTGTCCCGTCCCCCGTGGCGCGAGCTCAGATGATCCCAATGCATGCTTCCGAATTTGGGTCAAGCGGCAGGTGCCATGGCGGAACGAGATCCTCTGACTTCGCCCTCTCCGACTGCTGAGTGCAGTCAGGCAATCTCCACCGTTGCCAGCAGATCGAAGGCTACCAACTGGGATCAGGCCATAAGGGTCACGGGTCACGGCCCAGCAGCGGAAGAAATCATTAGCTTGACATCTTGTTTGCTGAAGGATTCTAATTTACCTGCCTCATCTCGTCCGATTTTTTCTTCTCTGATCTACTAGTGTTTTAACATCTCTAAACTTTTGAAAACCATTCACTTTTACACCCTGAGTGATTTTGATGGTCATTTTGCTGATGTGACGTCATGTCAGATGGGGTAAATTGGACTAAGTTGAAAATTTCAAGGAGATAAATCGGACTAGAAATATTTCTATAAAAGTATAAAAATTTATAAAAATAAAAAAGTAACCAAATATATTTTTACATGAAAAATATATAATTAAAAATCATCAAACCTAGTTTAATCTTGAAAATAACCCAATCAATTATTTTAGCTTGAAAAATTATGAAACTTTTTTAAGATTTTTTAAAATCATCCTCTATGTTATGCTGCCTGCATGGAAAGTGTTTGAATTTTGATGAACTTATTTTGTTACTTATTTTCTAGTAGAAGTTCACGTATCTATTATAGTTAGTCGATATTGACCATCGGAACTACACAGAAGTGCCAGTGAAGCATTGTCAGGACCATAGTGGCCATTGGTTCCCTACCCTAGTATTTTTTCCAAAGTACATGTGTTAGCATGCGTGGCTGCATGCACCTTGCCGCACATATGCATACATCCATGGACCCCTTGTTTAATATATACTTAATTAAGTTTTATAAACTATTAAATTTAATTAAGTTTTAGCGCAATGAATTATAGAGCGTAACGTGGCATGAAATCTAGATGGTAGCACATGAGTCATGATATTTGTACACATAGAATCAAGTGTCATGAGGTATTTGAAGCCATGCACCATAACATAGAGCATAATTTTAGAAAAAAAATTAAAACTAGTTTTAAAATTTTTTGAGCTAAAACAAATATCTATGAATTTTCTAAAACCGGATTTTAGGATTTTTAATTATATATTATCATGTAAAAATATGTTTGTTTACTTTTTTGAATTTTTGTAAAATTTTAGATATTTTTCTATTAAAATATTTCTTATCTGATTTACCTCTTAAACTTTCAACTTAGTCCAATTTACCTCCTCAGGCGTGGCGCCGCATCAGGAAAACGACCATCAAAACCATTAGGGTGTAGAAGTGAACATTTTTCAAAAGTTGAGAGATGTTAAAAAACCTAGTTTTGTAGATTTGCAGGAAAACCAGACGACCACAATAGTTAAGGAGGTAAATTAGAATTTTTTATGCAAAAACAAGATGGCGAGCGGATAACATATGGGGCCGCAATATACATCTTCCGTTGTTGCCCCGTGACCCGTGACCGTAATCCCAGTTGGTACGCTCCAATATGCGAAGTCACCCTTTGATCTGCTGGCAACGGTGGAGATTGCCTGACTGCACTCGGCAGTCGGAGAGGGCGAAGTCAGAGGATCTCGTTCCGCCATGGCGCACCTTTGTTTTCCCGAGAAACGCGTCGGTCGGCTGGTGCTGGGAGCGCCATGCTTGCTCTTATTAGCCTCCCCGTCTCCTGCCATCTGCCTCCCCCTCCTCCCCGCGACGCGACGGCCGTCCCCTCGGTCGTCCGGTCGCCACACGCCTTCCACCTCGTCGCTCGTCGGCGAGGGGGAGCAGCGTCACCTCCGCCTTGTGCCTTGAATCGTACGTGTGCCTCGCCTTCGTCTGGTTCCTCTTCCCTCTCATCGCCTCCCGTCAAATTCTTTTTTATGGCATATGCACTGCAGCTTCCTTTTCTCCTTGCTCCGATTTTATTAATGTCCGGCAGTTTCGTGTCTGATTCGTACCAGGTTGATAGAGCAATAGACCAATAGATTGATTTTTTTTTGTATGTGTGTATGATCAATGGAGGCAAGCATTTCGTCGCGTAACCTTCCGATTTTACAGCAACTGTTCATCAGAAGGCACCCCCGGCCGATCCGATCCACCGGATCGGCCGCCAAACTGCATATTTCCACGGTGGTGCAAGAAGTGAAGCCGGCCAACAAGATGATCTGCTGCGGTGGTACCGAGGAGGATACGTACGCCGCCCCTGCAAGCCGTCACCCAGCAGCACCTAGGAGTACGTCGCAATACAACGCAGGTAAAATATGATGATAGTTGCATTGTGAACGTAGCAAAAAACTGTTCCTCGTATGCCAGTTTGCTACAATGCCAGGCCGCGGCAAACCAAGAGGGCCTAATGCGCCGAGGAGTAGTGGGCTGCCGAAGGTCCTCCCCATCGATGTGCCGGCAATTTCCATGGGCGAGCTGAACAACATCACGGGGAACTTCGGGCAGAATGCCCTGATCGGAGAAGGCTCCTACGGCAAAATCTACCACGCCGTGCTGACCTCCGGGGAGCCCGTCGCCATCAAGAAGCTCGATCCCAGCGTGTCCAGCGACTCCGTGGCAGACTTCTCTGCTCAGGTTACACCACAACAACTGAATCCAACAGATGGCGCATCATCAGACAGATCATACCCTTTTTTTTACTGAATTGAAAGAAAAGAATGGTAAATCAGCCGGTGTGGTTTTCTGATGCAGCTGTCGATGGTCTCGAGGCTGAAGAACGAGTACTTCCTGCAGCTGATGGGCTACTACCTGGACGACAGCCACAGGATCCTCGTCTACCAGTTCGCCTCACACGGCTCGCTGCACGACACGCTGCACGGTAGTACACTTTTATCAGGATTATTCGCAAATGCTATGGCATGTGATCTGTCAGTCAGTCTGGCACGCTGAAAACCCTGACGTGAGGAAAATGTGAGGATTGCTGAACCGCGCGCGCGCATGCAGGCAAGAAGGGCGTGAAGGACGCGGCGCCGGGCCCGGCGCTGAGCTGGGCGCAGCGGGTGAAGATCGCCTACGGCGCGGCGAGGGGCCTCGAGTACCTGCACGAGAAGGTGCAGCCATCCATCGTGCACCGGGACGTGCGGTCCAGCAACGTCCTCCTCTTCGACGGCCACGACTCCAAGCTCGCCGACTTCAACCTCACCAGCCAGCCGCCCGACGGCGCCGCGCGCCTGCACTCCACGCGCGTCCTTGGCACCTTCGGCTACCATGCTCCCGAGTAAGCTATCCAAGTTTTGAAACAGATTGCTAGAGCAAGAGCAAAACGGATTTAACAGTGTTGTTATTGACATGTGGTATCCTTTTCCAAAGGTACGCGATGACTGGAGTGTTGACGCACAAGAGCGACGTGTACAGCTTTGGAGTGATACTGCTGGAGCTGCTAACCGGCAGGAAGCCCGTGGACCACACCATGCCTAAGGGACAGCAAAGTCTGGTGACATGGGTGAGCCCGAGCCATGCTCCATGTTCCTGCATGGCTGCATCCTGCTGCAGTTTTGTTATCTACTCCTGCCCCAGTTCTAAAATCCATAAGCAGAGCTTACTGATATCTGAATTTCCTTGACAAAACTAAGGCCACGCCGAGGTTGAGCGAGGACAAGGTCAGCCAATGCGTGGACCCGAAGCTGGGGGACGACTATCCCCCAAAAGCCGTAGCAAAGGTAACAAGCTCACGCTCGCTCTGCTGCCAAGTGTTAGCCGATCCTCCTTGAGATCTTCACATCCTGTCAGTCAAAAATTAATCTGAGAGAATTTAATTTCTGTGTTTCAGATGGCGGCCGTGGCGGCGTTGTGTGTGCAATACGAGTCCGATTTCCGGCCGAACATGACCATCGTGGTGAAGGCGCTTCAGCCTCTTGTGAAGGCCGCCGCAGCCACAGCTGGGGGGGCCTAGCAGTACATGATAGTAGATGATAATGATGCACAAGCATATCTCCAGCACATGTCCTCCAATGATTTGTTCTTGGTTATCTGTCGCTTGTGTGTACATCTCATCTTCAGTGGTTGTAATGCAACATGTACTGACTGATCAATCTGCAAAGGATTCAAGTGTTCATCACCTTTTTGGGGACTCTTCAATATATGGTATGTAGTTTAGACTCCACATCACCAGAGCCTTCCTTGTCCCCTTCCGTTGGTAGGAAAGGAAATTGCTTGCCCCACAGGAATCAGAACATGCTAAGCGAGAGGAGACGATGGACCTTGGGCAGTTGCAATCCGTGATGATTGGTGTTCTCTTTAACCGTATACCTTGGTGGGACCATCCTAGACATGATGGCATGAGCCCGTCTACTCGATCAAAATTAAACGAATCTGTAACCTGCAGCACGGATCGAGGATGCAGGCACGGATCGTGAGTGAAGAAGGGCAATGCCGCTTGTAAAGCTCTTTGTGTGTGGGGTGGGGCAAGTGTTCATCGGAATGACTGGGCGTAAAGGGCACGTAGGCGGTGAATCGGGTTGAAAGTGAAAGTCGCCAAAATGTGGCGGAATGCTCTCGAAACCAATTCACTTGAGTGCGACAGAGGAGAGTGGAATTTCGTGTGTAGGGGCGAAACCCGTAGATCGTGTCTCGCATCGCAATCGCATGGATTAGCTCCACACCCTCCTGTCCACACTCCACAGGAACACTTCACTCCAAACTTGAGTTGATCGACGACTCGACGTGCACAGCGACAATTTCATACAGTTGTAAAAGACAAAGGTGGAAAAACCGCTGAGCACGTGAAAACAACATGTTCCTGAAAGTGAACTCTTTGCGTGTACTGCCGCTACTCTAGCTCTACTGCTCTGTTTCAGAATCAGAATCCAAGGCAGGCGAGGCGAGAGCACGCGCCGAGCTGAAAACGCCTCGCGCTAAGGGCTAAGGCCGAGTCAGGTCCCGGGCATCGACGTGTCAAGTGGGTCAGCGTCACGCGTCGCTTTCAGGATTTACTTTTAGCATCCGAACAAAACACGGAGAGCGAAGCTGCAGCAGCCACCAAATCGCCAGCCGGCCAGTGAAGCTAACGACAGGGCCGCGTACGCTTGTGACTGACGCACATCGATCGCGTGGGGATCGCGGCGAGATCTGATGACCGAGGGGGGCCCGTCCACTGCGCGATGCATCATCGGCTCTCATCGCTCATCGGTTTGGGTTGTCCTCTTCTCGGCGACCTCGAAGGACGAAGGGAATCTGCAGCAGCCCTAGTTGTCCGAGCAAGCGAGCTGCGTGGAAGAGGACACGAGCTAGAGCGCCCCGACGAGAGGATGGCATTGCCGCAGTCGGGGTTGGTAACTCCAATGCTCCATTGGATGCTTGCGATTGCGGAGTCCACAACCTGGCCTTTTTTTTTTTTTTTTTTTGTTGTTGTTGTTGTTGTTGTTAGGATTGATCTCCCACCACGGCCTAACTGGGCCTTGTCGTCACGCCCTGATCGGGGGCGCCCAACTCTACAGGGTTGGTGGGCCCCCGTCGCACAGCGCTGTAAAGAAAGGTGGGGGCCGGGGCTCGCAGTACGAGGTTCACCGCGCCGTCAGTCACCCCACCGATATCATATCCCTAGACCCGATCTTGAGAAGGGCATCGCCAATGACGGAAGCACCACCGACGCCGTGAACGCCACCCGACGCCACGACGCCGCCACCGAGGACGCCACAGCACCGACTCCTCTCCACCGACCGAATTCTTCTTTGGCGCGAGAGATGGCGTCCATCAACGAAAACCCGCCGGAGCTTCGACAACTACGGCATTTGACGGTTTGCAACCTATCACCCCTTCCTCTCTGTCTCTCTGTGATCCCGAACATCTATTACTACTATGCTAAGTATCCCGATCTGATGAATACACTCAAATTGAAATCTAACAATGGCATCGGAGCCGAGGTTCGACAAGAAATCAGATCGGGGAAGTGAATCCGACCGATCTGATGCGGATCGGGGAAGAAAATAGAAAATCGAATCCTAACCCTAATCCCAGTTTTTCCATTAGGATGAACGAAAAGAAAGAAATAAAAAGCAAAGAAAACGAATCGGCAAGAACAAACCCTAACCCGAATCGGCAAGAACAAACCCTAAACCTAACCCTAGTTTTTTCCCCATTCGGATAAACCCGAAAAGAACAACTCAAAAGAAAGAAAGGGGAAAGTAGGGCTAGAGTTAGGGTGCGTCGGATGAACTTTCACCGGCGCGGGAGAAGAAGTCGAGCCGGGGGCGCTGGCTCGCCGGGTCACTGTTGAGAAGCAGCAGCCAAAGCCGCTCGACGACGGCGTGCTCACCCGTTAGAACAGAGCAGCGCGCAACCGAGGGGCAGCGACAGGCGCGAGGCTCGCTCTCACCGCTTCGCTTCGCTCTCGGTTGGTATGGTCACACTTAAGAGAAGAGAGAAGAGAGAGTGCGGCGAAGAAGAAGAGAGAGCAGCAAGCGAATGGCTCTAGGGTTCGGGAGGACGCGGGCAGACGCCGTTTTTGTTCGACCGAAGACGGCGCGCGACCGTCCGATCAGAACCAACGGCCACGGATGCTCGGGCTGTCGCCGCCCAAAGTGGCGCGATGGCGTGTGGCACTTTTGTTTACCCAGCCCGAAGTTATGGCTCAGGTGCTGACTTCTTCTTGCGCAAGGAGGATCGGGCGAATTGGTTTTTGTCGTCTTGGGGCGCTATTTGTGAAATGAAAGAAAGAATGAAATTTTGTTATTATTTTTCAGAGTAATTTCAATGCTATTTTGATGAATTTGAATGATTTTGATACAATTTTTCTGTGCAAATTTTATCCAACGATATTTTGCTCAGAAAACAGTGAATTTTTTAGTGCTTCTGGAAAATAATAATATGAAAAGATTATTAATGTTTCCGCTGTGCATGATAATTATTGTTCTCTTTGATTAAATTTGAACCAACGGGATAATTTAATTTTAAGAGAAATGAATTTCTGATAATTTTAACGCAATTATGATATTGTTATTTTCTGACCAACGTTGTTAATAACAATATTATAATTTTTTGATCCATGAGAAATTGTGCATTAATTTTACTTCTGCCCAACGGTGATGTAAAATGTTTGCATAGATGAATTATAAGTTTTAATTTGACCAACGTTGAGTTAAAGCATGGAATTTTATGTATAAATGTTTCTTACTTACTCTGGTGTGATTTCAGGAGGCAAATGCATTGTGAACATTGCCAACATCCCGACACTCAACGGAACCAATCACCGTGTGTGGCGGGAGAAGTATGAATTGGAACTTGCGTTGGGAGAGGTCGATTTTGCCATCACCTCACCGTGTCCCTCTTGAGCGAGAGGACCGGTGAGAGGTGACAATGAAACGACGCTGATTTATTTGCTTTCGAAAGCGTGATCATCTTTGAAATAAGAATAAAATATGACCTTGAACATAGGCAATGGACTCTCTCCAACCGCAAGTGCCTGTTGGTAGCAAAAGCCACCATAGAAGAACAGATAAGGGGCTCAATCCCTGAATGTGCTACTGCCAAAGAATATCTTGAGAAAATCAAGAGTCAGTTTACTGGGTCTACCAAGGCCACAGCAAGTTCACTAATTAAGAAGCTTGTGAATGAGAAATTCACTGGTGGTAGCATAAGAGAGCACATTTTGAAGATGAACACTACGACATCTAAGCTAAAAGAAATGAATTTGAAGGAGGAGAATTTCCTAATTCATTTGATTTTTGCTTCTTTGCCAAAAGAATATGACACTTTTATTGTGAACTACAATATGCAGCCTGAAAGATGGGGCATAGAAAGACTCATCTCAATGTGTGCTCAAGAAGAGGAGAGGATAAAGTCCTCACAAGGTGAATCTGCTCATTTTGTGAAGGATAACAAAAGAAAGAACTTTAATGGCAAGAATTCTAAACCACAAGGAAAACCTAAGTGGGATAAGGCCTCTTCCTCCAATTCACAGGGAAAGAAACCCCAGGATTCTGAGAATTAGCAGTATGATGGAGCTAAAAAGGATCAGTGCAAGCACTGCTTCAAAAAGGGGCACTACAAGAGGGATTGTCCAGACTTCCTGAAATCTCTGCTAAAGAAAGGTGATAAATTTATTACATTTGTAGATGAATCCCTGTATTTATGTTATGATAAATTCACTTGGTGGGTTGATTCAGAAGCAACTACTCATGTTGCAAATTCTTTACAGGGGTTAAGTGGGACGAGAACCTTGCAAAGAGGAGAAAGAACGATTAAAGTTGCAAATGGAGTGCAAGCCAATATTGAAGCCATTGGAGATTTTTCTTTAGAATTGAATAATGGTTTTGTACTTAGACTTAAAGAAGTACTTTATGTTCCCTCTTTGCGTAAAAATTTGATAAGTGTTTCGAAACTTGATGATGATGGAATTGATTGCCATTTTGGTGATGGCAAGTGTAAGATACTGATTAATAATAAATGTGTTGGTCTTGCCTTCCGACAAGACAAGCTTTATTTATTATCTCTTGCTGAGAATGCGAACAATGTATGTGATGAGAATGTGAATGATTCCCCATCTACGGATGTAACTAAAAAGCGGAAGAGATTTGATACTGTCTCTTCGAAATTATGGCATTGTCGCTTGGGCCATATTTCGAGGGGGAGAATGGAACGATTGGTTAAGAAATCAATTCTCCCGCGCTTAGAATTTTCAGATTTAGAACAATGTATTGATTGCATCAAAGGAAAATATGTCAAGAAAATTAAGAAAGATGCCAAACGAAGCACAAGAATTTTAGAAATAATCCACACAGACATATGTGGTCCTTTTCCTGTGAAAAGTGTAGATGGTTATGACTCGTTTATAACATTCATAGACGACTACTCTCGTTATGGTAATATTTATCCAATTAAAGAAAGATCGAAAGCATTGGATAAATTCAAAATATTTAAAGCTGAAGTTGAAAATCAGCACAATAAGAAAATCAA